CTCCTTTCTGCACCATTTCTCCAGCCATGCATTCATGTCTTTGACACTCACCTGCACAAGGCACTGGAAGTAATCCAGAAATTGAGGATCTTTGAGGTCTTACACTTTTGCTTTTTCCATAGCTTCTGATACTCTCCCTGTAGGATCTCAGCCCTTTTTTTTCCTTACGCCATGGATCCCAACATGGGTCACGACTTGTGGATGTTCCCCTTTCCCTTGTAGAATGTTTTGCACCTGTTCCATGATGTCTTCAACTCTGGCACCAGGGAGGCAACATACCATGCGAGAGTCACGTCTTTGGTTGCAGAAAGGCCTGTCTACTCCTTTCACCATTGTATCCCCAATGACAATTGCATTGACACTCTTCCCTGTGTCCCCTGTGCATCCATTTGCTTTTGACTCCCTTCCCAAGAGGTGTCATCACCATGGCCGGTATTCAGTACAGAGAACTGGTTTGTGAGTGCCACTCTCTCAGGGGATTTCTGCACTGCCCGTCCCTTCTTCCTACCATGCCGGGTGATCTCACTCTCCTTCTAAAACCTCTGTGGCTGTGGGGTGACAACCTCATGAAACATTTGATCCATGAACTCTTCAGCGTTTGTATGCTATTTAGTGACTCCAGCCTCTCCTTGAGCTCAGAAACCCTGAGTTCAAGCTCGAGCAGCCAGAGGCACTTCCTACACATGTGTTTGTCCAGGGCACACAAAGCATCCGTGAGTTCCCACATTGTGCATGCAACTCAGCTGCCCTGCCATATTCCCAGATGTGTTTTATATTATTTTAATATAAATATAAAATTTTTCATAAATACGCACCTGAAATTTTTTATAATTATGCACTGAATTCCCAATTTCACCAAATTCCTGCACAGAATTCCCACTCTGTTCCGTCCTCACACAGGTACGTCCTCGCTCTGCTTGGCTCTCTGCTCAAGAGATTATTGCTATTGCAATTTTTTGGCTTATGAAAAATTACACTCACCGTGAAACACTTTGAGGGGTCCTCCCAGCATAAAAGCCGCTGTATCAAATGTATGGATTGCTGTTGCTATTATTATCAATGGATGGATGAGACAGATGAGATGTTAAACCGAGGTCCCGTCTGCCTGTTTAGGAAGATGTTAAAAGATCCCATCACGTTATTCGAAAAAGAGAAGGGAGTTTCTGTCTCCCGGTGTCCTGAACAACACTCCCCCCCGGATATAATTGATTACTCACATCATGGCTGTTTGTGGGACATTGCAATGCGCACAATTGGCTGCCGAGTTTGTCCACGCAATATACAGTCACTACACTTTACAGTAAAATCCTGTGAAGTGGTTTGAGACGTCCTCCCAAAGGAAAGGCATTGCATGAAATGCAAGGATTATTATTATTTTTATGTTGCGTTTATTACATTGAATTTTCCCAAAACAACTTGAATGTATATAGTGCCCTCCTCGCTGGGTAGCATCTCAGGGTTGGGGTATAGTAGCTGAAAGTGTAGTAACTGTACATCCAGCAAGGTCCATCGAACAAATGCCATGAGGTAAATGACACGTTTTTAAAAATGTTTTACTTTTTTATTGGGATACTGCTAATATTGCGCCTAATGTGCCTAGTCGATTAGTGGATCGCTTTTCTGGGGATAATACTTCTGTGCAACGCTGCTTTGCGCAATTGGCTACCATGGTTTTGCCCACAAAATATACAGTCAATTGACTTTGCAGTATAAACTGTGAAGCGCTTTGAGACGTGTTGAAGATGTGATAAGGTGCTATATTAAATGCAAGGATTATTATTAATTCTCTCCGGGATTAGGTAAGAAGGATGCGTCCAGGGAGAGTGTGCATTCCATTCCATGTGTTGTTTGATGCACAGAGCTATGGGTTTCAGTAACAATGATGTGTTTCTGTGTGTGACAGACACTCGGCAGACCAAAAATTGTGTAAAATGACACCTTGTGAAATGTTGAGCCCATGATCTCTGTTCCTGTTTACAAGGGCTTTTGAAGCTCATGACAGCGAGTTATAGGCACATTAAATGCTTGCTGTAAAGCACTGGCAATACAGACACGTCATTATTGGTGAAGGCAATATACTGTGCTGGGCTAGAGACAGGAAGCGATTGAAGTATAGCTTGTATATATAACTTGTATATATTGTACAATATACAATATGATTAATATATCAATACAATATTAATTAATATTATATTGTATACATAATTTGTATATATTTATACGGTATACAACAACAACAAGATTACATTTGTATAGCGCCTTTCACGCCAGGAGGATGTCCCATACAATATACAATATATTGGATGTATACAATATATTATATTAATAGAATTATTGTGTTATCAATATAATGTATTAATCATTAATTATGTTATATTGTGTATATATAACTTGGGACGTCCTGCTGACATGAAAGGCGCTATACAAATGTAATTTGTTGTTTTTGTATAGATAACTTGCACTGCAGTCTTCACAGAATATACTGTTTTGTCCACAAAAAAAACTTTACAGTATATTCTGTGAAGCACTTGAGGCATCTCAACAACATGAAAAGGCGCTATGTTAAATGCAAAGATTATTATTATTATTGTTGTGCTCGGCAGCACTCTACACCCCTGGCGAAGAGGGGCTTGAGGGGCCAGGCTCTCATTACTGCCAGGGGAATGGTAAACCACAGGACATTAACACTAACACAGTGCTCTTGTGAGACGAGAGAGAGAGGAAAAGGGAAAGGAAGAAAGAGGAAAACAACAACAAAATTACATTTATGAAGCACCTTTCATATCAGAAGGATGTCCCAAAGGGCCGGATAGTTAAGGGTTTGCACCCAAGCTCAGGGTTGGAATCAAGAGGTGGGAGGCTGGGAGTGTGCCCGAAGGCACTGTCGAAGAGGAAGGCCTTGAAGGAGACAAGGGCCAGGGGGCGAGGCGGAGAGGCTCCAGGATGGAGTTCCAGAGGGTGGGGCAGAAAAGCTGAAGACCTGACTGCCGAAGGTGGAGCGGGCAGGGCGGGGGACATGGACACGGTGCTTACAGAGCAGGAAGGTTGGTATGGTTTTAATAAGTCACAAGTAGGAGGAGCAAGGCCATGGAGGGCTTTAAAAGTGAGAAAAAGGAAATAAAACAGAGGGAGGAAGAGAGAGAGAGAGAACGAGGGACATGGAACAAGGAATGTAAGTGAGAAGAGAGAGAAAGGGAGAAGATGGTGGGGGGGAAGGGAAGAGGAAAAGGGGTGAGAGAGAGAGAGAAAAGGTGACTGTATGAGAGAGAAAAAAAGAAAAGGAGAGGAGTGAGAATGAGAAATTGAGAAGGAGAGTGAGATAAGCGGAATAGAGAAATGAGAATTGGGTACAGTTCTAGGGTTTAAAATTGTGAGAGTGCATAAGCGAGCGAGGGAGCCGGTGCAGATGTGAGAAAAGAGAGGGTCTCCTGCTCATGAATCACGAGGATGTAATGCTAACGTGCTCTCAGTGTCGGGCAGCTATTGCTGACGGAGCTGACAAGTGTGAGGGAATGCGGAGCACAGGCGGATGGTGCCTGTTCTTATTAGCAGTGGTCACTGGCGGATCAAGGCTGGAGCTATAACCACTGCCTCTGGGGGCAGAGGAGATGTCCATAAGCACGTTAAATAGGAAGGTTTTCAGGGGGGACTTGAAAAAGAGGAGACAGCGGGCAAGGCACAGGGATTGAGGGAGATTGTTCCAGAGTTTCGTGGCGGAGTGGCTGAAAGCGCGACCTCCAATGGTGGAGTGGAGGGTGCGAGGGGCAAGCAGGAGGCATCCTCCTCTACCGTCTCTCCTCCCTCATCCATCTTAGTGGGACCACATTAGCCTGGTTCGAGTCCTACTTAACCAACCGCTTCCACATCATCTCGGCAAATGATTTCTCCCGTCCCCGCCCGGTCACATGTGGGGTACCCCAGGGCTCCATCCTTGGCCCTCTTAGCTTTTCCTCATCTACGTGCTCCCTCTTGGTGATGCCATCCTCAGACACAGATGGAAAAAAAGAAAAGGAGAGCAGTGAGAATAAGAAATTGACAGATGACAAACAATTGTGGCGGATGACACACAAATCTACTTTGCCTCCTCCAGCTGCAACTCCAGGTCCACCGATGTTCTATCAGCTTGTCTGGATGAGTGCAAACTTCCTGCAGCTGAATGTGAACAAGACGGAAGCCATACTCTTTGGCTCCCATCAACATCTTCACTCCTGCAGATCTGAACTCCTCAATCTCCCTGAGCTCTCCCTCAGACTCACCAAACACAATCTAGGTATCCAGTTTGATCCCCAGCTGTCCTTCTTTCCCCCACACCCGGTCCATGACCAGGACCACCTTCCTCCACCTCTGCCACGTTGCCCGGCTCGGACCATACCTTATCTCAAATGCAGTCGAAACCTTCGTGCATGCGGTGTGTCACTTTCCACCTAGATTTCTCAAACGCACTCCTCGCCGGTCTCCCCAGCTCCACTGTTCAAAAAATCCAGCTCATTCAGAACTCTGCTACCCACATACTGACCCAGACCAAACTCCGTACCCCCATCTCATCAGTTCTGTCCAGGCTCCACTGGCTCCCTATCACTGAACAGATCAACAGATCGTCACACTTGTTTTCAAATCTCTTCACTCCCTGGCACCTTCCTAACTCCCTGACCTCCTCACTCCTCCACCTGGCACCTCTGCTCGACTGGCACCGGCATCCTACTTGTCCCTCGCGCCCTCTGCTTCACTATTGGAGGTCATGCATTCAGCCACTATGCCCCGAAACCCTGAAGCACTCCCTCAATCCCTCCATCCTGCCTTCTCTCCCCTTTTTCAAGTCCCACCTAAAAACCTTCCTTTCGACTTATGGTCACCCCCTCTGGCTTGGAGTCATGTTCCGCTGCTGTTAAGTGCTCTGAGATGCTACCTGCGTGGAGGGTGCTATATAAGTGCAAGTTGTTGGTGTTGTGCTAAACAGTGACTGACTCGGGCTGCTAACCGGTGATATTGTTGCTGTGCAGGCCCTGGATATGGTGAAGCGGAGACCAGAGAGTGTGCCTATTACAATGCCAACTGGGAGCTGGAGAAAACAAACCAGAGTGGGGTGGACCGCTGCGAAGTAGAGAAGGACAAGCGACTGCACTGTTACGCCTCCTGGCGCAATGCCTCGGGCTCCATTGAATTGGTCAAGAAAGGCTGCTGGTTGGACGACTTCAACTGTTACAACAGGTGAGGCTGAGACAGGTGAGGGTTAGACAGCAGGGTGTGGGAGGGGGCAGAACTCCTACACACCCAGCCACACTAAACTCCGTACAGACATCAGGGCCTGGATGAGTGCAAATTTCCTGCAGCTAAATGTGGACAAGACAAAGCCATACTCCATGGATCCTTCCAATGTCTTCTATCCTGTGGCTCTGATCTCCTCAACCTCCCTAGCCTATCCCTCAGGCTTACTGATCCTTGGCAACCTTGGCGTCAGATTCGACCCCCAGCTGGCCTTCCTCCCCACAACCAGGACCGCTTTCTTCCATATCCACCACATTGCCCAACTCCGACCGTACCTAGCCTCAGACGCAGCCGAAACACTCGTGAGTTTGTCACCTCCCGATTCGACTTTTCAAATACCCTTTTTGCTGGTCACCCAGCTCCACCATGCACATGATCTAGCTGATCCAAATTTCCGCTGGTCATATATTCATCCATACTAAACTCTGTATCCCCATCGCACCAGTTTTAGCCAGGTTCCACTGGCTCCCTATCGCCGAATGGAACAATTTCAAGATCTTCACACTCATTTTCAAATCCCTTCACTCCCTGGCATCTCCGTACCTCAACTGACTCCAGCCTCCTGCTTGTCCCTTGTGCCCCGCTGCATCATTGGTGGTTGTGCTTCAGTTACTACACCCTGAATCTCTGGAACACTTTCCCTCAATCAGTTCGCCCTCCTCCCTTATTCCCCAATTTCAGATCAACACATGAAGACCTTCCTCTTCGACCGTGCTCATCTTTCCCAACCCATGGCTCGACGTCGTGCTCCTCCACTGTTACGTGCTACACTGCATGAGGGTACATGCAAGTTGTTGTTGTCAGCAAGGGACCAGGGAGGGAGTCAGTGGTGTATAAATGCCGATGTCTTTCTAGTGTTGTATGCTGTTTGACACTCACATCTGAATATATCCCTTTCCTGGCCAACAACACCCCAAGTTCAACTATCATAGAATCATAGAATTATACAGCACAGAAGGAGGCCATTCAGCCCATTGTGTCTCTGATGGCTCTTTGAAAAGACCTATCTAAATCAATCCCACTCCCCCTCTCTCTCCCATAGCCCTGCAAATAATTATCTACTCTCTTAAAAGTTGTTATCGAATCGGCTTCCACCACCCTTTCAGGCAATGCCTTCGAGATCCAAACAACTCGCTGTGTGAAAAAATTTCTCCTCACCTCCCCTCCGTTTCTTTTAACAACCTATTTTAAATTGGTGTCCTTGGGTTTCCAACCCCAGTGGAAATAGTTTCTCCTTGTTCACCCTATCAAATCCCCTCAAACCTTGAAAACTTCTATTAAGTCTCCTCTTAACCTTCTCTGTTCCAAGGAGAATAATCCTAGCTTCTCCTGATAACTGAAGTCCCTCATTCCTGGTACCATCCTGGTAAAATCTCCTTTGCACCCTCTCCAATGCCTTGACATCCTTCCAAAATGTGGTGCCCAGAACTGAACCCAGTCTCTAGCTGAGGCCTAACCAATGCTTTATAAAGGTTCATCATAACTTCCTGACTTTTGTATTCTATGCCCCTATTTTTTAAAGCCTAGTATCCAGTATGTTTTTTAACAGGTTTTTAACAGCTTTATCTACCTGTCCTGCCACTTTAAAGATTTACACACAACAACAACTTGCTCTTATATAGCGCCTTCAAATCTCTCACACTATCATCCCATCTCCAACCTGCCCTTCCTTGCCAAAGTCCTGGAACATATTGTTGAAGGTCAACTTCGGTCACACCTCTCCATCCACTCCCTCCTCAAACCCCGCAGTCTGGTTTTGGCCCTGCCCACAGCACAGAGACAGCACTTGTCAAAGTCACAAACGACAGAGAATTCTATCCGTGACCAGGGCTCTCTCTGCCTCCTCGTCCTCCTGGATCTCTCTGCAACGTTCGACACAGTCGACCACGCCATCCTCCTCCATCGGCTCTCCTCTCATCTATCCTTAGTGGGGCCGCACTCGCATGGTCCGAGTGCTACTTAACCAACTGCTTCCATTTCATCTCAGCGAATGGTTTCTCCTCCCGCCACCGCCCCGGTTACCTGCGGGGTACCCCAGGGCTCCATCCTTGGCCCTCTGCTTTTCCTTATCTATATGCTCCCTCATGGTGATGTCATCGCAGACACAGGGTAAACTTCCACATGTATGCGGATGACACACAAATCTACTTTGCTTCCTCCAATACCAACTCCACGTCCACCGATGTTCTATCAGCTTGTCTGGCAGACATCAAGGCCTGAATGAGTGCAAACTTCCTGCAGCTGAATATGGACAAGACAAATCCATACTCCTTGGCTCCCCAACATCTTCACTCCTGTGGATCTAAACTCCTCAATCTCCCTGAGCTCTCCCTCAGACTCACTGAAACCAGTGCACAAACTAGGCATCTGTTTCGACCCCCAGCTGTTCTCCTCTCCCACATCTGGCCTCTGACTAGGACTGCTCCTTCCACTTATGCCACAATGCCTGCCTCTGACGGTACCTTACCGCAAATGCAGCCGAAACCCTCGTGCATGCATTTGTTACCTCCCACATGGATTACTCCAACCCACTCCCACTGCCTCCCCAGCTCCACCATTCACAAGATCCAGCTCATTCTGCCGCTCGCAACTGACCCAGACGAAACTCCGCATCCCCATCTCAGTTCAGACATCAGTGGCCAGGCTCCACTGGCTCCCCATCACCGAAAGGATCAACTTCAAGAACCTCACTCACTTGTTCAAATTCATTCACTCCCTGGCATCTCTGTACCTCTCCGATCTCCTCACTCCCCAATCCACACCCCAGCGCCTCTGCTCGACTGGCACCGGCCGCCTTCTTGTCCCTCGCACCCTCCGCCCCACCATTGGAGGTCGCACTTCCAGCCACTACTTTACTTATATGAACTCCCAGGTCTCTCTGTTCCTTCACCCTCTTTACGATTTTACCATCAGCTGATATTGTCTCTCCTCATTCTTCCTCCCAAAATGCATCACTTCGTATTTCTCCACATTAAACTTCATCTGCCACATGTCGGCCCATTTTACCAATCTGTCTATGTCCTCTTGCAGTCTGTTACTATCCTCCTCACTGTTTACTACTTTTCCTAGCTTAGAAAACTTGGAAATTGTACTCTGTATACTCAAGTCTAGGTCATTATATAGATCAAAAAAAGCAGTGGTTCCAATACCAATCCCCGGGGGACACCACTGCACACTTCACGCACACACCACTCTCTGCTTTCTGTCTCCCAGCCAGTTCTGTATCCATGCTGCCACTGTCCCTTTAATACCATGGGCTTTTATTTTGCTTACAAGTCTCTTATGTGGCACTTTATCAAACTCCTTTTGAAAATCCATATAAACTACATCAACTTCATCCACCCTCTCCATTACTTCATCAAAAAACTCTTATCAGGTTTGTTAGACATGATTTGCCTTTAACAAATTTGTGTTGGCTGTGCCTTATTCACTCATATTTTTGTCCCATTTATTTTGTCCCGGATTATAGTCTCTAGAAGTTTCCCCACTACTGACTGGCCTGTAGTTCCCGGGTTTATCCTTCTGTCCCTTTTTGTACAGGGAAGTAACATTTGCAACCCTCCATCCTCTGGCACAACCCCGGTGTCCATGGAGGATTGAAAGGTTGTGGCCAGAACCTCCGTTATTTCCACCCTTACTTCCCTCAGTAACCTAGAATGCATTCCGCCCAGACCAGGTGACTTATCTACCTTGAGCAACCTTTTTAGTAGCTCCTCTCTGTTTATTCTTATCCTATCCAATTTCTCTATCCTCTCCTCCGATATTGTGGCATTAGCTGCATCTTCTTCTTTTGTGAAGACAGATCCAAAGTACTCATTCAATACATCAGCCATGCCCTCTGCCTCCACAAAACGATTTCCTCTTTGGTCCCTAACCTTTGACTAACCTTTTATTCTTTATATGCTTATAAAATACCTTAGGGTTCCCTTTTATGTTACCCGTTAATCTTTTCTCATACAATCTCTTTGCCCCTCTTATTTCCTTTTCAGTTCTCATAAGTTTCCTTTTTCTGTTTTATTTGAATCCCAATTTCCTTAGTCATCCAGGAGGTTTGGATGCCCTGCCTTTCCCCTTTGTGGGAATGTATTTGTTCTGTCCCCGAACTATTTCCTCCTTGAAGGCTTTCTGTTGTTCGTTAGCTGTTTTACCTGCCACTCACTGAAATTAGCCCTCTTTCATTTGAGTATCTTCACCTTTAATTCCTCCTTGTCACTTTCCATAAGTACTCTAAACCCAATGGTGTTGTGATCACTGTTGTCCAGATGCTCTCCTACTGAAACCTGCTCCGCTTGCCCCACTTCATTCCCCAGAAGTAGATCCAGCACTGATTCCTTCCTTGTTGAGCTGGAAACATAATGATGCAGAAAGTTATCCTGCACACATTTCAGGAATCCTTTCCCACTCCTTGCCCTTTACACTGTTATTTGCCAGTCTATGTTAGGATAATTGAAGTCCCCCATTATCTTTTGGTTTTGCATCTTTCTGAAATCTGCTTGCAGCTTTGCTCATCTATCTGCTTCCCACTATTTGGTAGTCCATAGATACATCTAACAGAGTAACAGCTTGTTTTCTGCTCCTTAACTCTTAACCAAATAGATTCTGTTTTTGGACCCTTGAGCCACATCGTCCCTTTCCAGGGCCCTTCCCCGCCCCCCACCCCACCCCCACCTTTCTTCCGTCCCTATCCCTCCTAAATATATTGTAGCCAGGAATCTTGCCCTTGTTTGAGCCAGGTCTCCATTATTGCCACTACATCATAACCCCATTAAAAAAAATGTGACAACTTGAGCCTGCAGCTCACAGTCTTATTTGTCACACTCATTTATTTGTCACATTTACGCACATCCCTCCTTTTTCTGGACTTATTGCAACAAGATGAATACCTCTCTCTCAATCTCGTTGAGAAGGTGTGTCTCTCTTTGTCTGGTTATCTTTATTTCTCTCTCTCTCTGGCTTTCATTTTCTCTCTGGCTACCTCTCTCTCTCTCTTCTTTCTCTGTGTATTCTGTCGCTTTCTCTCTATATCTCTGTCCGTTTCTCTCTCTCACTCTCTTTTTCTCTCTCTTTCTCTCTCTCTCTCTCTCTCTCTCTCACTCTTTCTCTCTCTGTAGAATGGAGTGCGTTGCAACAGAGGAGAATCCACATGTGTTTTTCTGCTGCTGTGAGGGGAACTACTGCAACGATCGATTCTTCCACTTCCCAGAGTCTGTGCCAGAAGGTGTGTTGCGTGTCTGTGGTGTCTGCCTCCATCTGTGTGCATGTGTGTCCATGCGTATATGTACACTGTTTGTGTATACGTGCACTGTTTGTGTGTGTGTGTGTGTCTGTGTGTGTACGTGTGTCTGTGTCCGCATGTGTACACTGCATACACTGTGCGTTTGCGTGCGCGCGTGTGTGTGTTTATAGGCCTCCCTCAATGAAGCATTCCTCTGTGGAATACTGGAAGCCTTGCAGAGTTACAGAAAGTGGGCTGGATGTGTGTCAGAAAGAGCTTGCAGCCCTGAGGGGATGATCTGATTGGATAAGTTCAAAGTGGCCGAAGGTATTCCTTTACATGAGCCCAAGGCCTCCAAATGATCAGTTGCAACCAAGCCGGTGATTCCGGCACTTTTCCGGGATGGATCCTTGGTGTTACCCCAGCCCTGCGGCTAACACCCGCTCCTCTAATCCTCGCTACAGTGGTTTTCGAGCCTCCACCACCGACTCCCTCGCTGCTGAACATCATGGTGTACGCACTGCTCCCCATCACTGGCCTCTCTGTCATCCTGCTGCTGGCCTTCTGGATGTATCGGCACCGCAAGCCGCCCTACGGACACGTGGACATCAATGAGGTGTGTGATCGGCCGTGAGGGGTGGGGGAAGGGGCACAGTGGGCCGCCCTCTACACGAGCACATTGGGAGTCGATAGAGTATCATGGTGGTCTGCAGAGTGGTCCCTAGCAAGTGTGATTCAAAACTGAAATGGTAGTTTGGCTCAACTTTCTCATGGTCACAAGTGCCGCAAGTTGCTCTCCTCCCCCCCACACACACCACACAGGCACAATCACAGACACACACACATAGTCATCCAGTCCCTGTTCCTTTCAGCCACGACACCCAGAAACTCTGGAGCTCTCTCCCTCAATCCCTCCGCCTTGCCCCCTCCTTCCCCTTTCTAGATCATGACTGAAGACATTCCTCTTCGACCATGCCTACGATCACCTCCTCTCTCTTTCCAGCATTGTATGAATGCAAGCTCTCGTCCTTAAACCCCCCGCAACCGTGGTCCTCACGCCCCTCTCAGCTGGGGAGCATGAGTTATAACGCATCTTTTTTCAGAGTAAATAAACTTGAGACATTTCCTGTAAATGTTGCTTGTAAACGAAAGATCCCCGGGTGGTGTTGACGGGGTTCATTAACAAGCTCGGGGCGCAGTGCAATGTTAATTTGCGCCGCTCGTTCCCCAGGACCTGGGCCTGCCGCCTCCCTCGCCGCTGGTTGGACTGAAGCCGCTGCAGTTACTGGAGATCAAGGCCAGAGGGCGCTTTGGCTGCGTGTGGAAAGCCCAGATGATGAACGAGTATGTGGCAGTGAAGATCTTCCCCGTGCAGGTGAGTGCCCGAGGGTGAGAGGCGAGTTTCCGAGGGTGAGAGGCGAATTTCCGAGGGTGAGAGGCGAGTTTCCGAAGGGTGAGAGGCGAGTTTCCGAGGGTGAGAGGCGGGTTTCCGAGGGTGAGAGGCGAGTTTCCGAGGGTGAGAGGCGGGTTTCCGAGGGTGAGAGGCGGGTTTCCGAGGGTGAGAGGCGGGTTTCCGAGGGTGAGAGGCGGGTTTCCGAGGGTGAGAGGCGGGTTTCCGAGGTGAGAGGCGGGTTTCCGAGAGTGAGAGGCGGGTTTCCGAGGGTGAGAGGCGGGTTTCCGAGGGTGAGAGGCGGGTTTCCGAGGGGTGAGAGGCGAGTTTCTGAGGGTGAGAGGCGGGGTTCCGAGGGGTGAGAGGCAGGGTTCCGGGCGGAGGCACATAAGGTCAGCCTATCATATCTGCATTGGATAGGCCGGAGTGAGTGGGATGGGCGAGGAGGGAGGAGCATGAGAAATGTGGTGATGAGAAATGGAACAGAGAGGAGGAACAAAGGATTTAGGAAGGCGAGGAATGTGGAGACGGGGGCGGGTTGAGTGGGAGCGAAGGACAAAGTGGGAATAGGGTGAAAAAGGGGAGTGAGGGATGTGGTGGTGGGGAGGGGGAGCGAGGGATGTGGTGGTGTGGAGGGAAAATGAGGGGAGCGAGGGATGTGGAGGTGAGGAACAGGAGCGATGGATGGAGGGAAAGGGAGGGGGAGCGAGGGATGTGGGGGTGGAATGAGAGGTCCTGAGTGTGACACGGAACCGTTGAAATGTACGACACAATTGCGCAAATTGTCTGCCATGTTCGTGTACCAATACAAGCCAGCTATTCCCTGTGAACATGTTGTCAGGATAGGATCACAGGCACTGAAGCTGAGACCAATTGCCTGGGAAGCATTTTGCGATATTTTGACGTTACAGGAGCTGTATTTCATACTTATCACAATTATTATGTTCACTATAGAAGTAACAAGTACAGGTTTTCGCACTTACTCTGAAGTGAGATTTTCGAGTTTTGTAAACTGGTGAAGTCTATGCATGTTGCTGAAGCAGCCTGTCTTGGTGTGTGTTGGCCTGGCTCACTGTGTGCCATTGAACCAGGCCGACAAACTTAAGTAGTCTAAGGTGATACTCCAATGCAATGTTGGGGGTGTGTTGCATTGTTGGATAGAGCAACCAGCAACCACAAGATGGGATGAATGGAACACAGAAATGCTAGGTGATAAAAGAACAAGGTCCATCTAGTTCGCCTTCTTCCATCCTGTTAATCACATGCTTTAATAATGTAGATGTTGATCGCAATTAATTCTGTATGGATTAGTGTATAACAGAGTGGAAAGCTTTGGGAACCTTAGATCCAAAATTGCCTTGTTCTTCCAAGCATATGTACTTGTCACGTCTTAAATTGCTCATATACTGTATCCCAAAATATTACTGTCTAAAAGAAATCTAATTTCCATTGTGTTCTGTGTTGTAAACTTCCTGTGAAATCTTTTCAAAAGCATCTGTTTATGCGGAGCCTCTGCTTGTGTCTTTACCAGGATAAGCAGTCATGGCAGAACGAACGCGACATCTACATAACGCCCGGCATGAAACATGAGAACGTGCTGCGATACATCGGCTCCGAGAAGCGAGGCACCAACCTGGAGATGGAGCTCTGGCTCATCACCTCCTTCCACGAGAGGGTAAGAACCAAGGAGATAACTGTGGGAACTGTGCTTCAGTCAAACTCTGCACCACCCGCCCCTTACTCACTGTGACCCTTTTCACCCAAAGAGTTGTTACGGTCTGGAATGCACTGCCTGAAAGGATGGTGGAAGCCGATTCGGATAATAACTTTCAAAATGGAATTGGTTATATACTTAAAAAGAAAAAAATTGTAAGGCTGTAGGGTAAGAGTGAGGGAGTGGGACTCGTTCAGTAGCTCTTTCAAAGTGCTTGCAAATGGCCTCCTTCTGTGCTATAAGATTCTATGACCCTGCCCCACCCCCTCACTGAGTCTGCGCCCAGTACGACACATAGGCCCACATGTGACCTGCGGGGCTACAGGCGGCTTTAATTAAATAATAAACTAACAAAAATAAATGGGTTGTTATTTCCCTTGTGCTGTGATGCCCTCTTTACACACGTGTTTGCACATGGCGGGTATCGGAGACCACTTTATGGATTGCCTTTGGTGTGTCTGTGCCGTGTAAGTGGAGCGTTAGTCAGGCCTGGTTTGTACTTTGTCCCCCAGGGCTCGCTGTGTGACTTTCTGAAGGGGACTGTGATCAGCTGGAACGAGCTGTGTCACATCTCGGAGACTATGTCGCGGGGTCTGGCCTATCTGCATGAAGACATTCCTCGGCACAAAGGGGAAGAAGCAAAGCCCGCTATAGCCCACAGGTACTGACGGGAGCAAAGGATGCCTTGACGTTTAAATGGCCGAGAGAGAGAGACGGTGATAAAAGTTATAGATGGTGTTGCATCCTCCTGGCTTAATTCATTTAAACACTGGAGAGTGATATCCCTGGTCATTACATGGTTCATTAATGCTGAAATGTTGTTCTAAAGGGGGAGAGTGGAAAGATGGGGAGAGAGATGTGTATGTCTTTGTGTGTGTGTGTATATATGTGTGTGTATGTGACTAGCATTGGCGGTCGGGCCTTAGCCTCTCTGCCCCCACCCTTTGGAACTCCCATCTTACAGTTCCATCGCGTCGCTCCCTCCCTTGCCTCGTCCAAGGCCCATCTCAAGACCCTCCTTTTCAATCACGTCTTCATCCCTGCCCTCCTGATCCCAACCCCCTGCTCAGGTCCAAATCCCTGACTGTCCAATGCCTTGAGATGTCCTCCTGACATGAAAGGCACTTTGCAAATGTAATTTGTTGTGTGTGTTTGCGTTTATTTGTTTGTTCTTTCTCTTGATGGGTATTGGTGAGAGAGGTAGGTGTGTGTGTGTTTGATGCTGAACTGGGGAGGTGACCATAGGCACAGTCGAAGAGGAAGGTCTGAAGTATGATCTGAACGGAGGGATTGAGGCAGAGAGTTCCAGAGTTTCAAGGCTGGCCACCGACGGTGGAGTGGAGGGGATGAGGGACAAGCAGGAGGCCAGAGCCATCTGAGTGAAGGATGTTTGTAGTGGAGCAGAGTTTTGGAATAGTTGGGATTTTCTGGTTGGTGAAGCTGGGGAGACCAGCTGGTTAAACTTGAGCAGTTATCCCAACAGTGAACGTGGGGTCTCCCAAGCCTTGGCTGTCACCAACCAGTGCCTATTTCTCTTCAGAAATTCAGTAAGCAGACAGTGCACATTTCCATTCCTGACACAGGGAAATTGCCATGTTTACATGGCATGCATATGTGAAATTGTCAGCCTGTTTTGGATATTCTTAAGCATGGTGATGGGTTTCCACATGTGGACACCTAGCTGACCCCCAAAAAGCTAAGGGTGTAGGGTAACTCCTCTGCTCTATTGTGGTTTGAAGTTTATAAAGTGAAATGCAAATAATAATAACCTTTGTGTTTGATAGAGCGTCTTTCATGTCGGGTGTCGGGGGATATCTCAAAGCTTTTAACAGGATTCACTGTAAAGTGTAGAGACTGGGTGTTTTGTTGCAGTCAATTTGTACAATGTCCCACAAACAGCCGTGAAGTGAATGACCCATGTGAATCCGTTTTATTGGGGGATTGTTGGACATCGGGAGAAACTTGTCTTTTTTTTTGAAGTAGTGCCATGGGATCTTTAACGTCCATCCAAACAGGCAGACGTGGACTTTGTCTCATCTCAACATCAGCATCCAAGGCTGCACTCTCCACCTCTCAAAGCCAGTCAGGAACCTCGGGGTTCTGTTCGACCCTGAGCTGTCCTTTCTTCCTCATATCCGCGCCACAACTGGCACCGCCTTCCATCACCTCCGGAACATCGCCGGACTACGGCACTACCTCACCCCTCACGCGGCTGAAACTCTGGTCCACGCCTTTATCACCTCAAGGCTGGACTATGGGAACTCTCTCCTCGTCGGCCTTCCCGGCACCTCCCTCCACAAGCTGCAGGTCATCCAGAACTCTGCAGCTCGTGTACTGTCCCGCACCAGGCTTCGGGACCACATCACTCCCACCCTCGCTCGCCTCCACTGGCTCCCCATCCCCCAGAGGATTGATTTCAAGATCCTCACCCTCACCTACAAGGCCATTCACGGCCTTGCTCCCCCCTACCTCTCCGACCTACTATCCCCCAACCTACCTGCCCGTACCCTCCGTTCCTCTGGCTCCGGTCTGCTCCACATCCCCCGCCCCAAACGCCCTACCATCGGTGGCCGGGCCTTCAGCCTCTCAGCCCCGAGGCTCTGGAACTCTATCCCCCAGTGCCTTCGCCGCCTCCTCCCTTTCCTCCTTCAAGGCCGGTCTCAAGACCTTTCTCTTCAACCGTGCCTTCACCTCCCCTCTCGACTCTCTACCCCCTCCTCATTCCCTCCCTTCCCTCCCCTCACCCTGACCATTTCCCCCCTGCTCGGGTCCTGACCCAACTCTACAGCGCCTTGGGACGTCCTCCCGACGTGAAAGGCGCTCAATAAATGGAATCTTGTTGTTGTTATATCTCAGGGATGGCAACTCTAATAATGCAGAGCTTCCTCTCAAGCACTGCGTTGGAATGTTAGCATAGTCTGTGAGATTTCATATAATAATCTTTTCATTTGTTATAGCGCCTTATCATGACTTTGAGACGTCTCAAAGCGCTTCACAGAATATATTGTAAAGTGGAGTGACTGTATTTTGTGGGCAAACTTTTGTGGGTTTTAAAAGTATCTGATCCAGACTGACTATAATAGCAAGTGCTGACATGTGTCCTCCTGTTTGCATTTTTCCAGCGGAATGAGAGGTTATTGTTCCCGGTGACACTTTTTTTGGAAGACGAGTTGGCAGGACATCCTGTAAAGTGGGTTCCTCCTGGAATGATATTTCTGGGGGGATAGTGCCATCTAGATGATATTTACTGTCTTTGCAGGACAGGGCAGCATTAATGTGCCCCTGCCTCTCAAGTGATTTCTTATCCTAGTGGCAAAATTAGCATTTTATCCCAAAATATTATCAATAGGAATATGACTTTGGAATACTTGCTTGTTAACTTTTTATTTGATCAGCCGGATGTCTTGACACATGCAGAAACTCATCCACGAAGCTTAGGAGACTGAGTTCCCTATGTTAGAAAATCAAGGCTTGAAATTTCTCATGGTTTTAACCACTGAGTTATAACTGAGTCAGCCAGTAAAAGCAATAAATCCTTCACTTTGATGTAGAGCTCAGACATGTGAAAACTTCTCAAAGTGCTCCACAGGTGACTGTATATTTTTCAACATCTTATCATTCTTGAATGGAGAAATCATGTTAATCTCACTCTCTTTAGGGATTTTAAAAGTAAGAATGTGCTGGTGAAGACAGACCTGTCTGCGTGTATAGGTGACTTCGGCCTGGCCGTGAGGTTCGAACCCGGAAAGCCTCCCGGAGATACACATGGTCAGGTATGTGGATTCAGGATGAATATGAGTGCTTCTGGTGCTATGTGCTCCCGTTAACATGTCAGTTTTGTGTCAGCCTGGCTTAGTCTGTAGCACTCTCGCCTCCAACCGTACATCACACCAACGCAGCCAAAACCTTTGTCCAGGATGACCAAAGGCACAGTCAAGGAGGAAGGTCTTGAGACAAATCTTGAAGGAGCGAGGGAGGGAGCAAGGTGGAAGGGCTCGGGTGGGGGCAGATAAGCTGAAGCTTTACTCGCGCTGAGTTTTGTTGATGTTCTCTGCAGGTTGGGACACGGAGATACATGGCTCCCGAGGTACTGGAGGGGGCAATTAACTTCCAGAGAGACGCCTTCCTCAGGATAGACATGTATGCTGTGGGCCTCGTGCTCTGGGAGATGGTCACAAGATGTACCGCGGCGGATGGTAAATCTCCCAATCCATTACTCTCTTCCTTTCATTTCCTGTCACTCTCTTTCTCTCACTCACACACTCGCTTTCTCTCTCTCGTACTCTTACTTACACTCTCATTCACTCTCTCGCACGTGCACTTTTTTTCCCTTGTTGCGTTCGCTTTTTCTCACATGCACACTCTCTCTCCCTTGTTTCGCTCATTTTCTCTTTCTCGCGCGCATGCATCCATCCCCCATAAGGCTGTGGATACTAGATTGATTCAAGTTCTTAAGACTGAGGTGGATAGATTTTTGGTCAGGGTATCCAGTTATCCCTGGAGAAAAGGTGGGTAAATGGAGTTGAGTTACATGATCAGTCATGATCTAACAGAATAGCAGAACAGGCTCGAGAGGCTTAATGGCTACTCATGTTTCTATGTTGCCCCACTTCTCCCTCATTTGGCATCCAACCAAACGGGACACTATCCATCGTGAAGGAACTGTGTAAATTGTTGTTGTCCCATGCACCGGTCTGCCCCCTCCCTCACCTGGACCTGTCTGCTTCTCTCTGGCAGGGCCCATTGACGAGTACAGTTTGCCGTTTGAGGAGGAGATTGGGCAGCACCCAACGCTGGAGGACCTGCAGGATGTGGTGGTCCACAAGAAAATGAGGCCCATTCTCAAAGACTGCTGGTACACACACCCGGTACGTGTTTGACAGCGTCAGTACTCAGTGCTGGTGTAAGTGTGTGTGACACGAGATGTTACGAGACACTGACTTCACTCGTGATTTGATAAGAACCAGGCAAATCCCTGTGGCGTGTGACCCACGCCTGATGGGGCCCTTAATCTAATGCAAGCTTTGGTGGATTTATTGTGTGCTCGCACAAGTGGACGCATCCGCGTGTTCATGTGGGAGTGGGGGTAACGTGTCAGGGTGGTGTTTGTTCATGCATGCATGTGGGATATATGTATGTGTTTGGATGGTGGTGTGGGGGTGGGCGCGAGGCGGCACATTTGAGTGCGCACTCTTAGCGCCTGTTGCATCTCTGCAATTCTTAACATTTTTATGTCAGACCTTAAACTCACAGCGTGACTCTTTTTTCCCTCCTCCCCCGCCCCTCCCCACAGGGTCTCGCCCTGCTTTCCGAGACCATTGAAGAATGCTGGGACCATGATGCAGAGGCACGCCTCTCAGCGGGCTGTGTGTTGGAACGCATCTGTCAGACCCGCAGACTGATCAGCGGCACTACCTCAGACTGCCTGGTGACCATGGTAACGGCTGTCACTAACGTGGACCTGCCGCCCAAAGAGTCCAGTATCTGAGCCTTGAGCTTGTTCTGCCTTCCCCCCCCCCCCCCCCACTCCCCTCTGAGGTGGTGATAGTGGTGGACAAGGGAGGAAGAGGAGAGGAGGAAGAAAAGCGAAGAAGGAAAAAAAATCTGTGTCTTTCCTAGACTCCGTGGAAATTGAACCACAAATAAACACAGCTGCTATTTTTTGAACCTGACTTCTGTTGCTCTTAAGGACAGAAGCGAAGTAGTGTTTTTTTGAAAAACAGCACACGACTGTACTGTATTTAATGGACATCTCAGCAAGCATTCAGGTACCCCGACCAGCGAATGCAGCAAAAAAAAAACAAGTGCAGGTACCACAAGAGGACTCGAGTCCACGTCACGTTGTGTGAAATCTGTTTTTTTACTTTAAAATTTCACTTGTTTGTAGCTTTTATTATTTTCTCTCCATCTCTCTCTTCCCCGTTCCCCTCTTCCTTCTGTCTTGTCTGTCTTTTCGACAGCACAGTTGTGGCTTTTTACACACTACTCACAGACATGCAGGCCACATACACATACACGCAAACATATGCGCGCTAGTGAACGGACATAAAACTCTGTACCGACCTTCATGAAATGCTGGACTTGTAGGAGGAAACCTTTCTTGTTTTGCGGGACGTGTGCTGTGTGCGTGAGTGCCGCTGCATTTGCCCACAAAAGACACAGTTGATAAACTTCACAGCAAACCTTTAGAAGT